ACTAGCCAGTGCGATCATGCGTTTTGTGCAATTCAGCCCATCGAACGATTGCCTACTAATGATTTTTAGTCTGTGCAGAAATAGTTCAAACATTGGAAAACAGTTAAAAATTTCACGCACCAGCGCAGGAAAGCCGAATTCGAAGCTTTCAAGGGTGAATATCTTTCCGTGAGTCCCGAGTTAATAGTTTACCCGCCAAAATTTTCACGAGGCCGTAGGTGATACTCAAAAGCGCGGGAACGCTGGATTTGGGTAGGCAAGCGTGGACAGGGGGTCATTACCCTAAAATTTCAGCTTGCAAGACACCGTGATTCCCGAGATATTAATTTACCTGCAAAAAACTTTCACGGGGCCGTACGTGTTACCCACGGGTACAGGAAGGCTGAATTTGAATGGGCAAGGTTGAGCTTGGGCAGGTGGTCATTACCCTAAAATTTCAACTGCTAGACTCCGTGGTTCCCGAGATATTAATTTACCCGTAAAAAACTTTCACGGAGCCGTACGCGGGCATGGGAAGGCTGAATTGGAATGGGCAAGGTTGAGCATAGGCAGGGGGTCATTACCCTAAAATTTTAGCCTGCTAGACTCCGTGGTCCCCGAGATATTAATTTACCCGTAAAAAACTTTCACAGAGCCATACATGTTACTCGCGGCTACGGGGAAGCTGAATTTAAATTTGCGGGGTCACACGTGGGTAAGGAACGTTCCCCCAAATTTTCAGTTTCCTAGCTTTTGTGGTTCTCGAGTTGGAAGTTGCGTGGAGGATGTCTAGCAAACCCCGTGACAATATGCATTTTGTGAAACCCCGTGACAATATGCGTTTTGTACCGCTGTTACACATCACAAAACGCAGAAGTCGATTTTGACGCCTTTTTGCACGACAGGATCCAACTCACCGCACGAAATAATATAGGTTCTGGAGAGAGTTTACAGATGGCATACGATTGAGAAGGCACACCGCCGGAGAATGGTGGCGGATCCCGCGTTCGGATCATCCCGCCACGAGGTGTTGCGGTTGGACGCAATCTCTTTTGAGGGAGGTTGTTGGTCGGCTTCCTGTTTCGCTGAGCGGGAGGGAGGAGTTTTTATGAGCCGCTTAGCATTCTGTACCGTTTGAGTGCAGCAGATTCTGCTGCTGCTGTTGTGCAGAAGGCTGTTTTCCCGTGGAGAAACCACCCTGTCTACGACTCGTTCAGTTGTTTCGGTGGTAAGACAGCTGCTATCAACTCCGCCAGCTGGGTAGGGAAGTTGCAATGGCTGGGGAGGGAGAGGGGTAGAGACTGGGGGCGCGGAGTGACGGCAAAGGGTGATTAAAATCTCGGGGGCCGTAGCGGGAGGGAATAAAGACGGGGTTATTGACTGCAAAGGAGCTAACATCTTGCTTGGAGCTCGAATTTGAAAACGGGGCGAGGTTTGTGGGGGCTTGGGGTATGTAGGTTTTTTGTGCTCAGCCTGAAACGTGATGCTAAGGAGAAATTGAGCAGAGTTGAGCGCAAGTGTTAGAATCTGCCTTAGACACACGATTTTTTTGCAGTTCGAACCCGTATCCAGAAACGAATTCCACAGTGCGCGGTCTATCCAACTTCTAATAGTTGTCGTGGTAAATTAGTACTGGAGCACGTCAGGATTCCGGAGCAGCCCTTGAAAGAGAAAGCGTGTGGATGCTTTTGGCAAAGTGTTGGTACTTGGGGCTACGTCCAGGTGCTTCTGGCTTTGTACGCCGAATGTTTGCAGAGGCCAGTGTCTTTCATTAGATAGATTGCTGGCGCTGACTGCTTATTATTCCGAGATGCTTGTTGATGATAAAGCTCATCGGGTCTTCGTTGCCCTCATTAACGAAATTAAGCGAGCGAGCACTTTCACTGTAGTCATGGAAACATTTCCATCCAGTCCACTTCATTAGTCTCATCCTCCTTGCATTTATGTTCCAGTTGATGATGCCTTCTGTTTTGCCCTCAGCCTCGTTCAGTTATATAACAGTTGGATCTGTCTTCTCCTAAAACCAAGCATTTTTTTAGTTAAAAATTGCGAAAGCTTTGCGGTTTTATCGATTTCTTTTTCGGCTTTATAAGTTAGCATCGGAGGTCAGAACTGCTCCTCCCATATCCACTCTTTTTGATAAGCTGAGGCACTCGGAAATATATCGTGAAAAGGCGCCCATCAACTGCTTTCTTGTAGCAGTTGATGACCGCCTTTTTGAAAAGCTGCTTATGAGCAAGCCAGTGGCAGTTTTAAACTTCTGTCATCATTCCATTATCATTTCGCTCTCCAAAAAGGGATGAACGAATCGCAGAAGGTTTGGTTGTCTTTGTAACCATTTAAATTGTGCCATGTTGACCAGCAGAACTATCATCACAGTATCAAAATCCGCAGACCTTAGTACCATTGGTAATTGGCAAATAACTGACGGTTTTTTTTTTTTGTCAGACTTTACTTTTTGTGACTTTGAAAGTGAAGCAGCTGGTTGGCCGTTGCTGAGTTCTAGGCCAAAAGCAGTAGAGTTGATCTCGTCCCGTGAGGACGTATGCCTTATGCTTTTTTGTCATAAATGTGTCTCTTTGTCATTGGGTTCTTTCGGTTTATTTCTCCTGTTAAGAATTGGGCCAGTTGTTTGCAGTAGAATAAACTTTCTCCTCTTTGGAATCTCCTGAAGTCTTCTTTATTTCAAAACTGAATTTCGACCTGCTAAGCGTGATTATTGTTGCTGCTTTTATGACTAGATATTATATATTGCACAAACTGCAATTCTACTGCGTGGGTTCACTCTTTTTTTCCGTGAATTCGGAGAGTGTTAAAATTTTCTCGTGATTTTTTTTTTTCACTTTTCCTTGAATCTTTTTTTGCAGACTTCTGAATTATGCGTGAATTTGAGGATGCTGATGACGGTTTGCAGAATCCGGAATCTGCAACCTATTCGTTACCATCCTATACTTACGCACGTTTCTTCGATGAATACCCAAAGACATGTGTTATGGGGGTGGCATTGTTTACTGTTGTGGCCTCCATGTATTTCTGGAGATTCCTTCGCACGCAGCGTAACGGTATGTATGCAATTTGTACATCATTAAATTCTGAATTCAACATACAAGTTCAAAGTCAAAACCATCGCCTCCTTTGAGAGGCGAAGACACTCAGAAGCAGCCTGAATGATAGCACGCGCTAACAGCAACTATCCGCTGGCAAATCTGTCGATAGCTTT